TGAGTCACGTCAGCCTTATAATTCCTGAGGGACGGGATTTATTTGAGTTACATCATTTCAATTTCCCCTGAAACATTTAGCCTAATAAAACATTTCTAATGTTCAAAAGACACTGTGATCATGTTCTGGGTTATTCAATAAATTCAAATTCACAATCACTATATCAATACACAGATTAAAATAATTAATAAATAATATCAGGCACGCGCACACATGGACATCAAAAGGGGATTCAGCTTATTTCTGGGATACTTTTTTAAAATTTATTTAAATAAATGAATATACAGTATATGTTTGCGAACAGATTCCCTGTCAAACAAATATATTTATTGGGGATAAAAATCTAAATAGGCTATCAGGTCGGAAGATGAGACTTTGGAGTTCTGATGCTCTCTCTCTCTCCCTCTCGCTCGCTCCGCATCTCACTGCGCAACCAGAGCGCAGCACACAGACAGCAGCCCCTCCAGCTTCTCTCCCAGCAGTGTTTTTCTTGGCTTGTGTGGAGGTGAGTGGTGATGAACAAAAGACTAAACTACCAGTGCCTCGTTTACCGCTAATTAAACAAAAGACAGTAGGCCTATGTCTTGCTAACATGCATGACTCATGAGCTGAGCTAATGTAAAAAGTTAGCTGAAGTTTAGCTAAGGCAATATCTCATGGCCAGACAGGCTAATGTTACTGTAGAGGGAGACACTTAACATTTGTGTCTAATAGCGTCATCACAATCGCCACATTGATATGCAAATAAGGCGTTAACTAATTAAAATGCGCTAATTTGCACACATTTGACAAGTCACTGTAGGTGAATGGGATAAACAAAATAACTAAAGCATGTCACCACAGAACTTCCCCAGTTAATGACTTACATCAAGAGTTGGCTATTTTCCTCTGAAATGTGCTGTGTCAATATGCAGGTTAGCTTGTTTTGGGTAATATAGAATAAATCTACAGATGCAAACAGACAGAGTGTAGAAGGCTTAAAACCGACACCATCTAAAGGTGTATTCTTGAAGTTTTATTTCCATTAGAGTAAAAGAAGACATGGAAACAAAATAGACCAAAGTCTCAAAATTGACCACTCCATGAAAAAAGTACCTTAAAGAGTAACTTCATCATTTTGATGATAGGCTCATCATCTAATAACTCTCCATTCTATTGGTTTGTTGTATGCTGATAGATCCTTATATAATACAGACAGCCCTCCCTCAAATGTGAAACTAAGTCCATGTCACCATCAGTAATGTGTGTGTGTGTGTGTGTGTGTGTGTGTGTGTGTGTGGTAAATGAAATATAATAGCGATAATAAAGTTTTTGATCAATACATTAATGTATTCACGCAATTTAGTTTTCTGTTGCTTGGCTGTGTGAAGCTGAAGGTTATCTGTACTCATTTGGCGACTTGTTTGTGAAACAAAAAGTAAAAGTATTTAAATTACATTTATTTTAATTATGCCTGCAGCCCAATGCCACAGTTTAGTGTGAAGATTTATGTCAAGTGTTATTTATTCCAATAACACCAAAAGAATTGAAATGTTTATTGCCTTGTGAACAACTTATTAATGAAACTATGTCATAAATATATACTTGAAACTAGTAGCATAGAAAACATGAACATTGTGGCATAATTTGCTTTGCTGTCGCCTGCTCCTGTTATAAACCTAGTGAATACTAAAGAAGACCGTGGTCTCTGTGTGAACTGATTATTTTGTAGAAAAGTAAAAATGTTGTTGAGTTAATATATTTGTCTTGTTTAAAAAAATGCCCTTTTTTTCACTTGTGCCCCAGCCCACCAAAATGTCTGTGCACGTGCCTGAATAATATGTATTCCACCAGCAGAAATGCCTCTGAGCATGACACAGTATAAATTGGAATGACTTGACATTAATTTGACTAAACACTTGTCAGACAATAAGCCATGAGGTGTGGCTGAATTGTACAGCCTGGATGAGGACATTGAACAGTCAATATTGGCTGTTGCATCTCAAATATGTTCATACTTGTTTTGTCCTCTGCTTTAAGAGTCTATTCATTCACATCAGTGTCATTACAGTGGACACAAAGTAAATATCACAGTAGACTGAAACAGTATCTGGACATGTTTTGGTAGTCTGGTGTACTGATCTGTGGTTTAATTGGATCATCAGAGAACACAAATAAGTCTAGTTCTCTGAATGAAGCAGCAAGTGCCTTTCACAGAAATTACCAAAGGAATATGAAATCAGTCTTCATGTTTGTTCAACCCTTTCTCATGAGTTTCTCTCCCCGAGAGCACTTAAGTTCTAACCAAATGTAAATGCTCTGTATTTGTATAGTGCCTTTCTAGTCTTTTTGACCACTCAAAGCGCTTTTACACAACATTTGCATTCACCATTCACACACTGGTGGAACAGCCGCCAGGGGTAAAATCAGGATCTTGCCCAAGGACACTTCGACATGCAGCCTGGAGGAGTCGGGGATTAAACCGCCAACTTTCCGATTACCAGATAACCCACTCTACCTCCTGAGCCACAGTCCCCCCATCTTTAGCAATGAAAACTGTCCATCCTGGTTCACAAGAGAATGGAGAGATGAGGGAGGTTGAATCTGATTAGTAGTGGATATAAGGACTGAATATAGCAGCAGAGATCCAGTGAGCAGTGAGAAGATGATGGTGATGGAGACCAGGAGGCGGAATGAAGGCAACCTGAGCAGCACAGTTCTGTCCATAACAAAAACAGCCTGCACAAAACATGCAGAGTAACCACTCAGTTATTCATATCAACAGTTCACTTGTGTTTCTTCTGACACTAATAATATCTTTACAAACTAAATGTATCTCAATAACTATACATTTTCACAGCATTTCACTTCACTCCAATTTGTTAGGTGAAAATAAAATGAATTAAATAATTTGAATGACTTGACTTTTATCTGACTAAACACACCTGATAAACCACAAGGCGAGGCTAAACCATAAAGCCTGGATGCGGACGTTGTACAGTCAATATTGGCTGTTGCGCCTCTCCAATTATATATTGAAATTTCTATTGTTCTCTGCCTTAAAGAGTCTGTTCTTTTTACATCAGTGTCATTACAGTACATGTAAAGTAAAGATCTCTGTAGGCTGCAAACAGTATCTGGACATGTTTCTGTAGTGTGGGTTTAACTGGATCATCTATTAGAGACCTTTGCAGCAAGCTGAGTAATGTTATGACTGATTATGTGGGCTATTTAGGTTGCAGAAAACCAGTGCAGGAGTTATCATAAATTAATTTGAAGAACATTGAAACAAGATTTTTACACATTTTAGACAGTTTGTATGTGTTTGCAATTGCAGGTCTTTAAAGGGGGCAGGATCTTATGGCGCCGCTCCATAGACTGTATATAAGAAATGGACGTAGTCATCGTGACGTCACCCATTGGTTTGTGACTGCCGTTTTGAAGCCTTGAGTTTGGCCGATAGGGCGCCGCCATGTCGAGTTTTTGCAACCAGGAAGTGCCCGGAAGTGACTATACGGCGGAGCTAACGGCCGTTTGCGGAGCTAGCTAGCTTGCTCAGCTAGGTGCAACTGTAACTCACGTTAACTGTCATTTTAACCAGGCTGATAATTTTGTCTAGCGAACAACAGTCTTAAAACTAAATTTACTCACCAGAGAAAGTGAACAGCCAACTCCTAATCAGCTTTTGCAACGGCGCTGGTTAAATTTACACAGTGCCGAGGGTACGAGTCGGCTCTAGCCTGATTGACAGGTCGCCATGTTAACGACTTCAATCATAGATAATCCCGCGCTGAAACATACTCTGCTTTGTGTTCTATTTTAAAATAATTGGGACCATAATTTACTAAATGAACAAGATTTTGTATTGAAGAAGACTTGAAACTAGCGACTGGGACCATAAACTCATCAGGAAAGTGTTTACTGAGGTAATTATTCAGCTGAGAAGTAGGTCATTTTCCCATTATTTCTAATGGAGCCGGACTTCTTTTTGCAACCAGAAAAGTCGCCCTCTGCTGGATTTTCAATAGAATGCAGGTTTCAGGTACTTCCGCATCGGCTTCATATTGTAGACCGGAAGCTTCCCGCTTGAGCTGCTCCTTTCCAAGAACTGGCTTTTTCGGCTCCCAAGCGGCTCTTAAATTAGTCCTGCTTCTGCTGGGTTACTTCCTAAGTTACATTCTTATTTGTTGCAAAAAATAATACCAAAAAACTTAAATTAAAAGCGGGGTGCTAATTAGACTCCTGTCCCTTTTACAGGCCTGGTGTGGCTACACTTTGTGACAGTTAAACGCAGGTCTCAATTAGATACCTGGACTGTTAGAAGTTCTTTGGATGTATAAAAACTTTTAGAACTTACTGGATAACCTGCTTGAGCTAGTTCTAGGCTGCTTAGATGCATACCAATATAAATGTTAGAATTTTTGTCAATACGGACATGCTACAAATGTTAGATCCGTTAGATTCTCCACAATTCAGTCATTTAGTTCATTTCATGGAAACAATGAGCACCAAAGTATCAATTGAATGCCTGTCCCAGCAAGGTAAGTTCAGTAAGTTTACGCTATGTAAGATTCTTCATCTACACATGAAATCTTCTGTAATACTGATGTAGTTGTAGAAAAAATAAGTGTCACATTTCTGGTGGTGTGTGTCTGTGATTTATGTTTCCTGTTTTACTTTGAACTTCTGTCTGCCCCTAGTGTCGTTGTCATTTTACTTCCTGTCCTTGTGTTTCTAGATTAATCATTTTGCCTGGTCTTATCTCCACCTCCCTTTGGTATTTAAGTCTCTGGTATCTAGTTGCATGTGCATTGTTCTACACTGTTCTACTGAGTGTTTCTTGTTTCTTGTGACTCATCTGATTATTCTCTGTGTTTTCTCCGGACGTTTGAGGATCACTCACCTGGTTATTTTAAGGATTACCTTAGTTTGTTTTTGGAACACCAGTTTCACCACCATCAGTAAGTTTATTCACCATTTGTGCAAATAAAACAGCACTCAAGTCTTTTTCTCTTCGTGTCTGCATCTGGGCTCTAAATGGGAGCTGGCTCCCATCATTCACTTAAAAAAGCAAGCTCATAGAGCCAACTCGTTCATGAACCATCCCTACTATGTGCATCTTTTGTGACTGGTAGTATTTAAATAAGAGTATAATGGCTTTTTCCCTTAATCACTTACGTGTACTTAAACATTTATACATGCAGTGCATTTCTATTGTTTCTGGTTCATTGACAAAGGCTGACACGCTGAATTACTCCAGCTACAATGGCAGCATGTAGAAAATTCCTGCTACTCCTCGGATTTGTTGGATCCATGTGCCTCATCATGTTGTCCTATCACATACGGGACATGTCACAAGAAAAGAGAGGTACAATATTAGACCATGTGTGTGTGAATGTCTTACTGTTCCTGCTGTGTATCCTGGTCCTGGTTAGGAATGCATGTTTTTTGTTTAAATAATGTTTGGTTTGGTTTGGGAATTGTGATAGAGGATCTGTGACCTCACCCCTGATTACTTTAGGATTTAGCTAAACACGGTTCATTTCTGCAGTACGGCTTTGAAAATTACAAATGTTTGGCCTTTGGCTTTAACCCCTGCCTGTCATCTCTTAAGAGAAAAAATACTAGAAAGTTAATTTAGCACTAATAATATTCGAAAGCTAAAATACACATATTCTTCTTCCTCTCATCACAGCTGCGAGGATCCATCAGCTGCAGGACGTGAGAAAGCAGCTGCTAAGAGAAATATGTGAAGACAAAGAGGCATTTTCTAAAGGGAAACACCGTTTAGAAAACATGAGTAACAAAGAGCTGGACAATCTCATTGTGGATGACAAACATGGCATTATCTACTGTTACATCCCCAAGGTGATTTATACATGTACACATCACACTTAAAGTACACAAAGTGGACATACAGTAAAGTCTTTCACAAAAGTTTAAATGTTGGATTTATGTCTGTGAAGGTTCTCAGTCATGCAGGTCATAGTTATCCAAGGAAGATACTAGAAACTGTCTAGTATACAGTCAAGTCCAGTTGCCCTTGATTTAAACCTTTCTTGGATAATGTTGGATTTAGTCTTTTTCCCTAAAGATTCTTTTACTGAGCATTTCAGACCTTAACAGTACGAAACTGGATTTGAGCACATCATATTTTTCAGCTTTTTCAGTACATTTCACAAATCTGTAATCGGAACTACTCTTCGCAAAGATCACACACAGTGCCATCAAGTCAAAAGCAAACAAATGAATGACATTCCTATCAGCATCACAGACCTGCAGGGCTCTATACCCTTACGTGGCATTCAGACCAACTGCTAATTTTTGCCTCGCGACGCTTTGCCCGCGTACATTCGCCTTCACGAGAAGGCGATATTAACGCGATAACGTGAATAAACACAACTCACCATTATTACAGCTGTATGAACCCAAAGTAAACATTTTGCTGTGATTAAATAGCAATAAACGGATTAAACTGATGCCGAAATATCTACAACATGATGCAGATTTGGTAAACATATGAGTTCATGCTTTGTCAGGTTTGTCAGCAAGACAGCAGGACAACAACTTCTAAAATGTTTGTTTTCTGATTGGAGTTTGGATCGATCAGGGCTATGCTATGCTAACTTGGTCACAGTAAAGTACAATGGTAGCTGGAATAAAGTTACAGACACATGTTTTCTGAACTTACCAGGTAGTTCAACATCCTCGCTTTCTTTTCTCCAAGTAATGACCAGTTTTGTCCAGTTTTTATATAAATATGAAGTCGTAGTCCGACAGAGCTAACGACGCTAACAACAACACTGGAACCGGATGTGCATGGAAGCAAGCTGCTGAGAAGCTCCAGTGAAGATAAATCAACGTTGAAATCCCAAAAACTAAAGTAAAAAGCTAATTTAATAAAATTTAACTCCGAGCTCCTCCTGCGAGTAAACGGCGTAGTTGTCAGAGCAGAATCCAACCGACTACAGGTGTTTATTTGTCCAATGGTTGAAGCGCTGCTCCCTGCTCCTCTCCTCAAAGTTTAGAAGCTCTCAGCCGGCCAGCAGATTTTCAATCCCCCTCTCTGTCCGGCCCTCTCCACACATCGCTCTGAAGCCTCGGTGACATACGCAGAATCTCAACACTGACAGGCTACCGCGACTCAGCATCATGCGACTTCTTCACTCATTCACCATGCACCATTAGGCCCCATCCACACTACTGCGTTTTAAAACGGAGACCTTTTGCCACGCCCCCCCACCCCCACCAACCAAAACGCTGGTGTGGACGGCAATTATATTCGTTTTAAAACTCCGTTTTTAAACTAAAACGGAGTAGTGTGGATGAGGCATCAGTCTTCTTATGTACAGGTGGCGTGTACCAACTGGAAGAGAGTCATGATTGTCCTGAACCATAGTGAGCCATATCAGGATCCCATGTCCATACCTAGTGAATTCACCCACAATTCCAGCAAGCTCACTCTCCTAAACAGCTTCCCAAGAACAGAAATGGAGGTCAGTTTGTACAATGACATCAGAAGGGTCATTAAAGTTACAAGTAGAAAACTTACCCACCCAACTAACAGACATGCAATATTTAGTCCCACTGGTTGATTCAATCAGAATAGTGTGACAGAGAGTTGATGTGTACTCATTTGATGACTTCAGGCAAAGCTGAAGCACTACACCAAGTTCCTGTTTGTCCGGGACCCGTTTGTCCGTCTCATCTCCGCTTACCGAGACAAGTTCCAGAAGGAAAATGAGTACTTCTACTCGTTTGCCCGGGATATTCTGCGCATGTATGGCAACCAGTCTGATCCACCACAGACAGCGCATGAGGCGTTTGCCTCTGACATTCGCCCTTCATTTTACAACTTTATTCAGTACCTGCTGGACCCGCGGACAGAGAAAGAGCAGCCCTTTGAACCCCACTGGAGGCATATGCACCGCCTGTGCCACCCCTGCATCATACAGTAAGGCTGTTTTTGCCAGTAGAACTGTAGCTATAAAGGTCATGTCGTATGTGTCTCTAAAAATTTAGAGGGTGCATTGTTTTAGGAGAATAACAGTGGGGTTTTTACAGGCTGATCAAATTATTTTTAAAACTCAGCATCGCTAAACAAACAAAAAAAATTTAAAAGGGATTTATTATTTCAGCAGCAGAGTTCTATTCTGACAAAATTAAGCGAAAGTACCTAGTTATGTTACTCGTTATGTTGCTATAATACTTTCACTAATCATCTAGTCTAGATCCACAGATGATGCTATACAGTATAGGCTATGTATCTAAAAATAATAACTAAAAAACAAAGTGTCTGCCGCCTTTATAACTAATAGCATATTCATAAAAGCAGTGAGGAGTTATTTTATTTTTTATTTTTTTACAAAAAACTTCTCTTAATGCTACCGGCCTAAATAAAAAAATAAAGCAAGTCAATCCCAAATTTTTAACTAATATTTTTCTGCACATGCATTTATAAGAGCACAAACGGAGCTTTACTTGGATTACTGGTGAAAATAATAATATTACCCAACACTGGACATCACGGAAGAAAAACAGAATTTACAATTTAAGAAATTATAGAAAGAAAGAAAAAGTAGAAAATGTAAATGGTGAAAAACTGAATTTTAGCAATTCCAAAAAATTCCAGCTACAACCAGGGCTGGTGTCTTGTATTATTCATCATTTAAGTTATTTTAATGTCTGACTTTCAAGAGTCTGATTCCTGAATTATCTAAATTGAAAGTTAATTTAGCTCAACCTAGGTTTATTCTTTCCATCATGTGACTTTCTTTGTAGTATTTTAAAAGTTCAGTCCAGTGATTTGTAAGTGTGTCCTCATAAAGTTAGGGGAATTATGAGACACACGTTTTAAACAGTTGAAAATTGATGTAGCAGTCGACTTTTAGATCCTAGAAAGGGTCAAGTACCAAAAACCCTGGACTTCCCATGTTGCAACTAAATATATTTTCACAGGCTGATTAGTACTCCTCATGGCGCGTTAACTGATCATGATGTTTAAAATTTTTGGAATGCCCTTTTGACATCCATAAATTACCAATTAATTAAATGATAATCCAGAACAATGCTTGTTTCATCTGTAGTTTGACATTGGATTCTTTTACTTCTCAGATATGATTTTGTTGGCCATCAGGAGACTCTTCAGCAGGATGCTGAGCAGCTGCTGAAGATCTTAAACCTGGAGGATGAAATTAAGTTCCCTCCTTCCTATGAAAACATGACTTCCCTTTCTTCTGTGTTGGACTGGTTCAGAACAGTGCCCCTGGAGGACAGGAGGAAGCTGTATGATCTCTATGAGAGGGACTTCACACTTTTTGGGTACAGAAAGCCAAGCGAACTGTTTGATGGTTGAAATGAAGTCATGGTTTGGACAACTTCACTCTTTCCTCTCCAGCCACTGGGTGAAGAAACCACAATTTTTAAACTCTGAACAAGAAACTAAGATTTTCTGCAGACACATAATGACAAAGAAATGACTTAGGCACTGGTTGCACAACAGTTCTGTTCTTGCATTTGTCTGATCTCTAGCTTTTCTACACTGCACCACTGAAATCTAGATTGTTCATCTCATAAATGTGCAGTGATTTATATTATTTTCAACTCAATCACTCACTGTTAGGGTGATTAACTTCACTTGTTAGTGAACATAGTTGTCAAAAAGCATCTACTAAACTAAACAAGAAACAGCACATTTTAATTTCATGCTGGAGATTTTCAGCAATGGCATGTTTCCAGACACAGTGCATGTTTGTAAATGTCTTTTTTCCAGCTCTTCCTGTTTTCAAACTGACTTTTTAAACAAAAATCTGTGATATCAATGTAAAAAATAAAAATTAATGTAAAAGGTGTCACGCGTAGTGAGGAAAACAGAATTATCACCCAACTCTTCCCCTTTTGCTACATCCTATCCTTGTTGTTTTGGTTTTACATCCAGTGATACTGGATTTTGTTTCACTCTTTCCGCTCATATAGTGTAATTTTTAGTAGCACAATGTAACTCTTTTTAGTGAAAAGGAATTGATAGACACTCTAATACTACCTGCCCCAAAGCAAAGACCAAAGTGGCAGAGTTGGTAACTAACTAGTCGCTAAGTGTAGATCAAATCAGAATAAGAGCGTTTTGCCTGCATGATTTTGCTTATATGTTTGGATTTTGTTCAATTGGTAATTAGTGCTTGCTTTTTGTGCATTTTCTATGATTAAGTAGGCTATGTAGTTTTTTGTTGTTTTATGATTGTGAGTCTGCACAGGGTATTTTATTTTTAAAATTGACCGGATTCTCTATGCCATTTTGTGTCTGACTTCCTGCCCTGTGCTGCTCTGTGCTGCTTCCGTCAAAAATAGACTAGCTACATATTCTCTGCAGAGAGGAGCAGAGAGCCCCTGGGACTCTTTTTTCTGAAATGAAGGAGCGAGAAAAAACACTTAAACAAAATATAAAATAAACAGCAATATTACATTGTGTTTCAAAAAACTTCCAAAAACAGTCCATCTAAACAATGAGAAAGACTTATGGTCCTGTGAGGCCCCTGAGCATATGTCTTTTAGAGGCGCACAAAAGAACAAATGCCTCTAGTTAAAATTGTTTGCCACCTAAGTAGTTAGACAGCTGCATTTGAGGCTGATGGCTAGTTAACTCACTGATGGTTACAGCAGGTGATTGATTTCAGTTATATTTTCCAGAGTGTGACAACAAATATTAAGTTGAGGGTGCCAATAATTTTGTCCGGTCCATTTTTGGAGTTCTGTGTGAAACATCTCAGATTTGCTTTTTGTTTTTTTCTTTGCTTTTTTGTGTTGTTCCAATGCAAACAAAAGAAATAAACATGACAATACAAAAGCATTTGTAATTGCAATTACAGTTTTCTGGGAGAAGTAGTGCATTATGTGTTAGACATGCCCATATTTTTGCCCATGACTGTATATCTGTGTCTTGTGTGTGTGCACATGGCTCACTATTCCTGCTGTGTATCCTGGTCCTGGTTAATAGATGTCATTTATGTAAACAATGTTTTGTTTGTATCTTTTGTTCCAATGCATGTAAAATGGTTTGGGAATTGTGGTACAGGTTTTGCGACCTCACCCCTGTTTACTTATGCATTTTCTTCACAGCTTTGAAAAATACAAATGTTTGGTCTTTGACTTTAACCTCTGCCTGTCATCTCTTAAGAGAAAGAAACTAATTACATTTTATAAGCTAAAATACACATATTCTTGTACTTCTCATCACAGCAGTGAGGAAGCAGGTGCTAAGAGACACGTGGTCAAACAATGCGCATCTTTTCAGAACAATGTAGATCAGCCTTAAATCTATTTATTTATTTGTAGCCTATTTATTTAAATGGATTTTTGTCATTATATATGTATGTATGAGTTTAAGAATATTACATTACAATATTACATTATGGCATAGGAAATTAATTGTGTGGTGGTGTATTGTAGCCACTGACCTCCTTGGGATTTGGGATCTCGCTGCCCTCGCTGCAAACCGTTTTCCTAGTTCAAGACCCATTATTTGGCTGCAAGTATTCAGGTGGTCTCACCTGCAGCGTAGTGAACTCTACCCTCCTCCTGAAGTGTCTAAATGAGGTAGCGTGGTTTACCTGTGCTGCTGTTGTTGTGATTTATTTAAGAGCATTATCATTAATTACTAGAGCGATGGTGGTCTACATTGTCATCATTTTAAGTGTTATTTTATAGTGTAAAGTTAGGTTTAGTGTTAAAACTCTATAGCTCTGAGTGTACGTTATCCTTTGTGTATCTAACTGCCCAGGCTCAGCAGTAGCACGTGTGTGTGTAAGCAGGCACATGTGCTTTGGGAGCAGAGTGAGGAAGCACAGCAAGGCATCATCAAAAACATCAGCAAAGGAAAATGTAGAAGCAGAACTAGTGAAAATTGTGTTACAAAACATACATGAATATAGTCCATCACAGTAAGAATGTCTTGTCTCTAGCACACAGCACAAAAGACACCAGCTTATCCTGTTGAAAACAGGCACCTTTTTCCAGAAAAAGCGCCTAAAATAACATACCCAAAATGAATCAGGAATAAATCCCCAACCATTTGGCCTGGATGCATAATTCTGGTCTCCTTTGAAAAGTCAGACGCTAAGGAATATAAATCCATTGTATATTAATATATTTATTTTACTATTATAAAGAAAAAATCTGATGTTTTCATCCTCGCCTGGTAAAAAAAGCTATATTTTATGCAATAAACCATCAAAACCATCATAAGGTAGCTTTTAATACAACTGAATATCTTCTAATACACCTAGAATGCAACCGATGCGGCCACAAAATTGCAAAAAACACAGTGTGTACTGAAGCAGTATGTTTCCTCTCTACAGAAGTGCTGCTTCCTGCTTTCTTACAGTGCAGACGCTTTGCTGCTTGCTCTTGCCTCTGCTTGCATTCCACAGGTTAGAAGTGAATGTGGAAGTGAATGGATTATGTGGGAATGACCACAAAACCCACCCAAAACAGTGGACAAGAGCTAATTAGCACCAACAAGACTACCAAGAAGCTGAAGGCCTGTGTACTGGGTAATAAATCTAAAAGTGGTGGTCCTCCCTTTACTCTTGGTGCAAAGCCCAAGAGTAAATCATTTCCTGGGAAAATGGGAGGAGTAACAGGCAGAACCCAGTGCCCTGAGATTTGTGATGCGACTGGCTGGCCTGCATTATCATCCAGGCAGAGCGCCTCTTCAACCCCTGTTCTTGGTAGGACACAGCCGTGGAAGTGGAGTGTGCAACAGCAGGACCCTGGATCTCCATCTGAGTAAATCAGAAAGTAAAAGGCTGCAGGGAAAGCTAACGACTGGGCCTAAAACTCTGACTGTGGGTGACTCTACTGTAAACGATGTAAGAAGCATGTGCAGTAAGAACACCAAAGTTCTCTGTTTTTCGAAGGATACGGTGTCTGACTTGGCAGAAAGAATCCTGCATATTGTGGCTGAACATCCTACTGTGAAAAACATCATACCGCACATCAGGGTCAATTATGTTGTGAAGCAACAGTCTGAAGTGTTGAAAGAGGATTTTAATAATCTGTTGAACACAGTCAGCTCTTTGAATGCTGAGGTGTTTATCAGTGGCCCTATACTGCCAATCCGAAGAGGAGCTGAGAGATTCAGCAGATTGATGGCTTTGAACACGTGGCTCTCAACGGCCTGTACTGTCCATTCAGTGCATTTCATCGAAAACTTTTACTTTCTGTGGGACCGCAGACATCTTTTTAAGGCAGATGGACTTCGCCTTAACAAGTCGGGAGTAAAATTGTTCAGCTCCAACCTGTTTTACTTTCTGCGTCACTCATCTGTTCCCTCTGCCAAGGACAAGAGACAATAGGAATCAAAACAAGAAGAAGACAACATGCCAGAAACCTTGAAGGAGAGCCACCCCAACCCCCACTGGAAGAGAGCTCTGATCACGGGAGACATCTGAGCCAAGAGGAAGAGTCTCCACCACTCTCACTGAAAACCAACAGTGAAGATTCAACATCTCTACCCCCCCAAACCCCACTTTCTCCCCTCTCCCCCCTGTTGGACTTCACTGATCACATGGAAGACCTGGTTAGAGCTGGGACCAAATTTACTCCCCGCACCTTCCCTCGTTCCACTCCCTTTTTCTCTACCCTAAACCCCCCTCACCGTCCACCTCCACCACTGGTTCTTAGTCCTCCAGGTTTGACACGTGTCACAAATACAGCGCACAACCCGCCATACCGCTCCGCAATGGCGAAAAAGCCCAGTAAGCTCTGTCTGATATGTGCTGGGTCCAGGCTACTTTTTCTTATTTTATTCCTTTTATTTTATTGTATTTTACTAATTTCATATTAATCAGTATTTCAGTCTTTTCAATGTTTTCATGCTCTTATCTTGTTTTTTGTATTATTCTTTATACTTGTTAAAGCACTTTGTAACTTGTTTTTGAAAAGTGCTCTACAAATAAGGATTATTATTATATTATTATTACAAGGAAAATAGCACTCATGACTCTTCCCAGGACAAGCCGGTGCCCGGTGTGCTGGTAGTCTTCTCCATCCCTGTCTTGATAGGTAACAGAAAAAGCATGGTGAATGTGTTAAGAAAAAGGAAGCACTCAACATATCCCGCAAATTTAGTATTAATTCCTCGTCAGCCGCAGCCTGTCGAAAAAAGTGGGCCAGATAATGTTTTTAACATACTAAAATTAGCTTTGTTAAACGTCAGGTCTTTGGCAGGAAAAACATTTTTAATCAATGATTTTATAATAACTCACAATCTTAATTTTATGTTTTTAACTGAAACTTGGTTGGACCAAGATAACAGTGCAGCTGTCCTTATTGAGTCTACCCCTCCCAACTTCAGTTTTATGAGTGAAGCTAGAGTGCATAAGAGAGGAGGTGGAGTTGCCCTTTTGTTTAATGAGTCCCTCCAATGCAAAAAGCTATTTTTCTAAATATCTACAGGCCCCCTAAATACAGTGCAAACTTTTTTGATGACTTTGGTGAACTGCTGTCTATAATCTGTATTGACTTTGACTGTGTGATTATTGTTGGTGATTTTAACATCCATGTTGACAAACCCCAGGAAAGAGGGACTAAAGAACTGTTTTGTGTTCTTGATAATTATGGACTGACTCAACATGTGACGAGGCCCACGCACAATAAGGGGCACACTTTGGACTTGGTCATCTCCAGGGGTCTGGACATTTCCAAGGTTGTGGTGACTGATGTTGCTCTCTCTGATCATTCCTGTGTTTTCTTTGAGAGTGCTATCTGCGTGCACACAAATGTTAAAACAGAGGTGATCACAAAACGGCATATCACTGAAAACATTAGTGAAAAATTTATTGAGGCTTTCTC